GCCGCTCTCAGGCGGGAAGCCCCGCCCCCCCACCGCGTTTTGGGTTCAAACGCTCGGGTTTTGGAGCAATAAAGCTTCACGATAAACGGCGCCCTGGCTAAGGTGGCTTCCGCTTCCGCCTTGGGGGCGGGGCCGGCGTCAGACACGCCCCTCAGCGCCAATGGGCGGCCGGCGGCGCAGGGCGCATGCGCGGTGGGGGGGGGGAGTCCGCGCATGCGCACTCACCTCTGCGCGCAAGCGGCGTGGGCGGGGCTGGCTGGAGGAGCGCGCATGTGTGTGTGTGGGGGTGCAGCCGGGAGCGCGCATGCGCGTTGCCCCTGCGGGCGGGGCCAGGTGCCTGCGCATGAGCCGTCCAAGGCCCCGCCCCTCCCTTACCGCGCACGCGCAGTGGGCGGGCCCGACCCAAAAAAAGGCGGGAGGGCGGCCAAGATGGCGGCGCCGTGAGGGCCCCGCTCGTTGCCGCCGCCCGGGGCCGGAAGCGGCGGCGGCGCCATTTTGGTGAGTGGGGGGGCGGGGCCGGAAGTGGCGCCGCTGGGGAGGGGGGCGGCGGGCGTCGCCGCTCAAGATGGCGGCGGCTTCGTGAGGGGGGTTGGGGGGAGGGCGGCGTTTGGGGCCGTTTTGAGGCGTTTTGAGCCGTTTTGAGGCGTTCTGAGGCACTTTGCGGCCCCAGTGCTGCTTTGAAGCCGCTTTTTGGCGGTTTTGTGCTGTTTTCTGCCCTCTTTGTGCCCCCATTTCTCCCCAATTCCTCCCCATTCCCCCCCATTTCCCCCCATTCCCCTCTATTTTACCCCATTCCCTCCATTGCCCCATTTTGCCCCACTTCTCACCATTCCCCCCCATTTCCCCCCTCTCCCCCGCCCCGCTCCGGGCTTTTCCGATGTTCTCTTCCTTCTTGTTCTCTTCCGCTCCCAGGGGCCGCCTGACTTTCATGGATATGTATGAAATGCTGAGACATATGTCCCCACCCCTGGGTTTAGGCAAGAAATGCCCGCCCCGTGTTGCTTATAAGGTAGAATAACCCCCCCGGACCCCGAGCGGACCCCCCCCAGCCCCCCCCGGCGCGCGGAGGCTCCCGGCCCCCGGCCGCCGCTCGCGGCCTCTCTTTCCTCTCCTGCCTCCGCTGCGGCCTCGCACAGGACGGGGTGGGTAAGAAGCGGGGACCCCCCCCCCGACATAGGAATGTGCGTGTGTGTGTGTGGACCCCCCCCACCCCCCGGA